GAATATCGATTGTTACCTCCCTCAACTAAGGTCAAAATTAAGTTAATGAAGATCATGAGAGACCACAATATRCCCTTAGTCGCCGAAAGGGAGCTTTATGAATGGGCTATCGAATCCGAGAGGTTGTCAGGTTTTACCTGGAGTACTGGATCCAGTTTGATCAAAACTCGCCAATCTGTTCTAGAAGAATGCTACCAAGCAGTTCCTGAACTGCGCGGTGATTGTTTTACACCRCAGCTTATTGAATGGCGTTCTAACAACAAAGTTGGCGACAAAGTAATCTACGTAAGGTCATTTAGACGAGCATTGCAWTCTCTCTTGACCAATGTTTCATTAATCAAAGAAGAAAATTTATCTTTTCCCAATGAAAACAACCCCACTTCTCCTTGTCGAGTTCCCGAATTTACTGCGGACTCTCTCATTTGTGAACTTCACCACGGGGAATGGTGGGTCGAAACATGGAAAAAGAAATGTCATCGGGATAAGGACGAATTGTTGGTTCCCATTATATTCTACATGGACGGCATTGCGATAGACAGACACGGAAGCACAACACTTTTCCCACTGAATATGACTCTCGGTATATTCAGTGATCTTACCCGATCTACTAGGCCCGACGCTTGGGAGACTCTTTACTTCCACCCTCAAGGAAAAAGCAATGTGTCCGTTGACAACGTAAACAACCTRCATAACGGTCTACGGGCCGCTCTTGCATCATTCHGTGCAATTTGTGAATCGACAGATGATATTTGGTGGCACAATTGTCCATGGAATGGTAAACTCTGGAATGTTAGGTTGAAGTTTGCTGTTGCTTTCTTTGTAGGCGACACGGAGCAACACGACAAGTTATGTGGGCACTTCACTTCTGCTAATACAAAAATGATCTGTCGACACTGTAACTGTCCTCGCGTGCTTGGAATCAACTCTAAAGTAAACGTTCTTAATGCCTCAATTTCGAACGAACTCAATGCTCTGCGAAGTGAAACTGGAAGTGAAGACGATTCTGACGAGGCAACAAGTGGGAGTACTCTAGCTAGCCCACTCAGCAAGAAGAGGCGTGTGAACTGCACCGATACCAGCTTGCCGCTGCATTCTCCTCTTAGGTTATGGCACCCTTTTGATTTCACGCAGTCCACAGTACCTGTTGGTATGTCCTTGGAACAGCATTGTCGTAACAACTCACACCACACTATTATCGGAGGAAACATGTTTCACGATCTTGATTTTGGAGTCAACAGCTACGGAATTCACCTCGCTTTGCCTGGGGAAAGGCTTCACATGCATCAACTTGGATGTGCAAAACGTGCAGCGGAAACGTTCCGCGACGTCTTCCTGTCTAATTCAAAGAAGCTCCTTGATTGTATGGATTCGATCGCCGGCTATTACGGTGGTTCTCTCCAGAGGCAGTCCGACYRAGATTTCCCCAGAACYAACTTCTCYGAGTCCATACATACTGCGAAGAAGGAGGGWAATCATTTTAGCGGTATGCTTCTGTTACAGATCCTCTCGCTGTTGTCGAAGGATGGCCGCGCATTCTTGAGGTCTTACCACAGCCAGGAAGAGATTGATGGTCGAATATACGCTCTGGAATTAATTCTGGGGATGGAAGAATGATTTCTTAAGTGGTCTGGCACCCCACGCCTTCAAGTTTCCCAAAGGGAAAACGGGCGCAAATAACCTTGACAAAATGGTTGTTCACTTTATTAACAACATCAACAATTACATTGGAAGAAACGAAGGAAATGGTAACAATCTTATAAAAAACCACATGTACTTTCACCTCTCCCAATACATCCGTCTTTTTGGGCCCCCCTCTGGATGGGATTCTTCTTGGAGTGAAAGCAACCACAAGACGGAAGTTAAAGCGCCAGCTAAAAGAACGTCTCGAGTTTCCAGTTCACTGATCAAACAAACTGCAAAACGCCACATCAAGTACCGTGTGGTAGATAGACTTCATCGTGAATTTGACATGTACCACAATACTCAATCTCAACCTATTCCGAAAGGTAAAGGAGGCTCTCTTTTTTCCATTGGCCTATGCAATGGAACTGGTGTACCCTATATGAAATGGCAAGCAAAAGAGAATCAAGTCAAAAACCTTCCATGCCTGCCTTCTGATGTTATTAATTTCTGTTGCAATCATGTTCTCCCAGCTGTTGAAACCGATGTTTTATCTGGATTCACCGAGCACAAGAGAACAGACGGAGGAAGTTCTGAAAAGCTTCTTTTCCGCRCACACCCATCTTATAAATCAGACAGTGGACAACAGTGCAACGTTTGGTTTGATTGGGCTTATTTTTTGTTGCATCTCCCCGACAAAAGGGGCGAGTATCCCATGGACGAAAACTGAAAGTGTTCAAATTACTCCACCTTGATGCAAAGTTGTAACGACCCATACGCTTCTTGAAGTGGCCCCGGGGAATGATGACAAATTCAGTTCCACTCCCTTTCTTATCATTGCAAAGAAACATATTCACAGATGGATGAATGGTCTTGGGAATATCACCGGGCTGTTTGGCGGTAGCCCGTTTGATATTAGTACTAGTCATGACTACGTTACTGGCGATGTAAACACGAGTTGTGAGTTCAGTGAACAGTGTTATGACTTGTTGGCTTACCGCTTCGCCAAAATGGTCGTCATAGTAGTCTTCATTTGACAAAGCTGCTTTGACAGCTGCCTGAAGAGCCTTTTGCTTTTCTTTCCATAGAACGCCTGACTTGTTAAGCAATTCAAGAAGTATGGGGTCGGTTGTTTGTATGGACAGTTGAGCTTGAGAAGKATTCGGATTGTTACTCATGGTGGGACGGGACTTTTAATTAAATCAGGTGGAGACTGAAACAAGATGATTTGTAATCCAAAAACATAAAAAAGCGAGAGAGCCTTTTTATGGAGTGTGCATTTGGAGAAGAAATCTGTGTTGGTAATCATCAAACGACACCGTTGGTAAGAATAAAATTGTATTGAGATTTTTCCGTCCGTTGCGATCTGGGAGTAAACTGACAAAACCGGGAACGCCGTTCCCGGTTTATGTAGCCCATGATTTGGAGAAGGTGCAGGGTGACACGCAGTGACACAATAACGAAGTGTGACCATGGTTTTCTGTTACACAAACGACATAATATGAAAGAAACGGAAAAGAACCGAAATAAGTATCTTCCTTGTGCTAGTGTGGGTTTTTGAGTTGGTGTTCGAACCAGAAATTCAAATAAGTAAATAATTCAAATTTGAATTTTCCGAAAGGAATAAGAAAAAAAGTGTCGGGAGAAACAGTTTAAACTATTGCGATGTACTTACGATTCATTGATATCAATAGTACATACATGAGTTGGATAAACCTGGTGGGAACTGGTACGTATTAGAGAAAAAAAAATTTGTGGACAGGGAACTTCCACCTGACCGCGAGATTACGTGCGTACTACGTTAAACCAGTAACGACGTACGGGGTGTACCAAACACTGAGAAATTTTACAGTAGCCGCGCCAGAATATTTCCAACCAAAACCTGATATTCCAGTAAGTAAGTTGTTGAATCGCGGGAGATAAACATCTAGTTCCAATGGTAACATTCAGTACAATACAATAAAGCTAATCGAAACGCAATCTATGCTGCCATTTGAGCATTAGGAGATAATATATCTTTCAAATCGACTAAAACACAGCACARCATGATTGAGGAGAGAAACAACGAAGATAGACATCAATAAGACGCAGTGATTGGACAAATACAAAAACGKAAAAACCAGTATGAGACGGTCATGAAGAATAATCTGGTTACGTACGTCAAGGAAAGATTTTTCAAGTACACAAAGTTTCCCGTTGAAG